TTAAAACTGGGAATCTTCAGGTTACATGCTACATCTTAACAAACATCTTGTAGTTACTTTGCTTTGCATAGCTGGAGGTTTCTCCAACCTCCTCTCCTTGGTCCAAACTTTATACAAAGGCCTGTCTCTATTAAGAGGAAGCAGAGCCTTAATAAGACTCCATTTATCTCTTTCCCTTGGGTCTCATTTGTCAATAAAACTCTTACACATTATTTCCTGGCTCAGGGGGTTCAAGATTGAGCTTCACCTATAACCCAAATGCATGGCCTAGGTCATTATCTATGTTAAAGCAGCAAGCTAAAAGTTTTCATTCATGATGGCCTACCACATGCAATTCACCAAACTGCCAAAGACATGACAAACCCATCTCTGCAGCTCGCATCCACGATGAGCCTGTTATGTTGGCAGAGGCTTTGTGCTAGAAAAACCCAATAGTCAAATTCTGATTGACAGCAACCCTTCAGGACAGAGTAGAATTGCCACATAGGATTTCCAAGGCTGTAAATCTTTACAGAAGCAGACTGCCTCATTTTTCTCCTACTGATGGATGGTACAGTGTCTAAGGTATTCGATGGGTAACCAGAAGGTTGGTGGTTCAAACCCATCAGTCCTCCATAGACTATGGGACAATCTATTTCCATAAAGATTTGCCACCTCAGAAACCCAGTGGGGGTTGCTTTGAGTCAGAATTAACTTGGTGGCGATTGTTTTGTTTTTCTAAAACCTCAAATGGCCCGATTCAAACCCCGTCCTTTTGGTTAACAGCTGAGAGCTTTAACCACAGTCCCACCAGAACTGCTGTGCTGAACACCAAATCAACCTAATTAAGGTTGCAAGTAACTATGTGAATGTGTAGGCCTCTGCAAAACTAGAACTACAAAAGGTGGTTGCTTGCAGTTGTGTGGTTAAGGAGCATGGCAAAGAATCTCAGACCAAGCATGCTAACTAACAGTATTTCAAATCAATTCATTAATAAACTTGGCTATCTAAAAAAGAGTGCCATTCAATTTAAAAACTTCAATTTATCTTCCCTTTGACATAATTTTTCCAATTAAGAATCAAAATTCACTAATTTTCAAACCTACTCTTGAAAAAGTATTAAACTTTTAAGGACTGTGCTTAAATGCACTTACTTTGTAAAACCTTACATAAAGTGTCCAGTTTCTCTCCCACCTTCACTTATCCAAGCATTTTGTCTTCCCTGTCAGGAAGACGCCTTGGACCACTATCCACTGGGTGACCTAAAAACAAAAATTGTCTTGACCTTTCTACCTACTATAGGATATGTATGCAAAATAATTTGGGGAATTATTGTTCTACATGCAATGCCAGCAATGTTAATTTGGCTTCCCTGACATTTGATGTATGAATAATAAACAAAGGCATCATGTTTTTTTTTTAAAACTTTATTTCAACATAACTATGTTTATAGAAGTACACTCATAATGGTTAATAGAATGTAATTTATCCTACAAAATTTGGACCAAAAACTTGGTACATGGTTTAAGATTAAAAAAAAAAAAAAGGATTTGCAACCTGTTTTTTTTTTCCAACTATTACAAATACAAATGTATAAAAGATCCTCCCTCAAATGCTGCAAAAGCAGGCAGCAAAAACCATGAGTAATTTACCTTTGGTTTGTTTCAGAAAAGCACAAGTATTGCACTGTAAAAGTTTAAAAACTTGGTACAATTTTGCTGTATTTTCAACACCAGCTTACAAACTAATGAATGTGTATGTGAGGGTTCAGAGGGGAGCCTATACACATGTCAAACTGTAAAAGCCACCTGATTCTGTTAATATTGCATGTAGATTATAAATCTACACAAACCAAGATTCAGGTATTTCCTTGACTCTGAATAAACACTATCAGCTTAGTTGCTGAGGTCAACAAGGAAACTGGCTGCAAGTTTTTCTGATTTATACAATAAAGAAAAAGAAAAAGGTTTTATCCCCAGCTTTTCAGTCCAGAACTGATAATGTATTACAGGCAGGATATATTCTCTTTCTACAGTCAACATTCACAGGGTGACATGCCATGGGGGGGTCTACTTGGGTTTAAATTTATATCAGCACTCTCATAAAATAGTCTCCAAAGTTCAAAGACCATGTGACTTTAGAAATGACTCTAAGCAGTAAAAGGGCCCTTTCTTGGAAGACTAGAGCAGTACATCTACCCAGTTAGAAGTCTTATCGAGAACACACAGCCCTTGTGAACTTCACCTCAATTAAAAAAGAAAAAAATACAAAATAAGTAGCCCCCAAAGGAAAAAGCAGCTCTGAAATAAGAAACAAGAAAATATATAATTTAAAATATCTTAAAAACCAACATGAATAAAGGTTCAAGATAGTTAAGAGATACCTTTTCATAAGACTATCTAGGATTATGCTTATAATGTATTCTAGTATTTCAAGTTTATCACTAGTTATTAAGCATCAATTTACAAATAACATGTTCATTTTTTCTTCCTTTATCAAGAAGGGAAAAATTCTAGTTTCAACTCTATCCAGTGGGAGGGGTGGGGGCTGAGAAAATAAGGATTCAAACAGTTCCATGCAAATATCACATTTTTCAAATGGAAGAACTCCCAACTGAACTAGAAGTTCATATTACTAATATACTTTTCATTGATACAATTTTTAATAAGTACAAATACATGGCATTAAGGTTCAGAACCTAATATAGGCCTGACCATGAAGTCCTTGTTTTCTGGAGGAAAGGCCTCAAAACTCCCACTCAATTTCCAGTAATAATGTTCTTTCAGACCAATTAGTTTCATTTCCTGCGTATTTTTGTTTTTAGCATTCTAGTCTAAAAGCTACAATAGAAATTAGTTGAATTCTTCAGCATTCCCCAGAAGTATGAAAAAATCCACAAAAACCTGTGATTCCCAATCTCCAATCTATGCTTACGATGAATCTTTCTATACATAATGAAAAAGGTAACTTAAAATATATCCATGAGCATTAAAACTAGTTGTTAGAAAGATTTAACTAGTTTTATAATTTAAGATTTAAAACATAAATATTTGCAACTTGATCTTCTGTTGACAATGATTGTCAGAGCCTAGAATTCCACATCATTTAGTAATTCCCATTCATGCACACAAAACACACACCACATCACTCAACTTACTCTCATCTTGAGAATCTTCTGATTCCTTAAATCTTTGGCCTCCCAGTCAATTCCATGTTCAAACATCTTTTAACTCAATCTTCACTCAAGATTTTTAACAGAAAATTTCCACCCACACTTTATCAATGCTTTTCCTAATCTTTCAAGTTGTACTGCCAAAATCTGAAACCTGCATCAAAGAGATCTCCAGATTACAAAAAAAGAAAGAAACAAAGTTGATTATTTCAGAATAGGTCACAGGAGGTCAGAATTGTTCAAGATCCCCCAATGGGCTATTTTATTTTATCAAATGAATAATTGCTGTTAACAAAGAACTGCCAAAAATCCTATGCTGGATTCTTTCATTTTCTTTAGCAACTGGCCAAAGAACCTACAAAAAATGTGTGGGAATACACACCCTTTTTTCATACAAAGTGCCCCGCTGGAACACAGGATAGTTGCAATTCATTTGAGGCCTCACCTATAGAAAGAGGCTGTTATAGAAACAGCCAGGATACCACTAATTTGTGGAAAACCCTGAGAAAGTGTGATTTTAAAATGTGAACTGTAGTTAAATATCACCAACCTTTTACATTGTATTTCATAGGAAGCCGCAGCTGTCTACCAGCACTCATACGACTGCCATTTCACCCTAGGCTTGCTGTAGAATAGCTATGCCTTTGAAATCTCCAGAGATAATATGTATTAACTTTAAGTTATGTCTGTCTCCTAATTCCAGGTTTGCAGTTTTCAAATCTCTTATTCAGTTGAGTAGCCATATGGATACAAACACCCATGGAAAAAGGTCTCAAAGATACTATTTAACACTGTACAGTTATGACATAGCTGTATCCAAACAGGAAAAATGTATTTACTGATAGTTGGTAATCTGATGTAAAAACCTATTCAATAAAGCCTAGTGGTTTATTTATTACAAAATTGAAACTGAGAGTTGCAAATATACTACATCCATTCAAAATAAATAACCTATATGAAATATAGATTCTGGCATAGATAGAAGATATGAAATAAAAAATAAAAAAAGATTGAGCCTGCATGTTTCATTTGCTCATAAACTTGCACACTAATATTCTGCAAAAAAGATAATCACAGCAAAAAAAACTATCCTTTTGCAAACAAGCCTAAAAAGCATCCCTCCAAAGATGCCAAATAAACATGCATATATATGAATAAAGTGTTACTATTCAACACAAATGCTATTTAAAAAAAAGTAACTGCATAGGTTAAAAAAAAAACAATGTGCAACATCTTAAGCCATTAAAGCACCCCCCCCCCATAAAAAGAAACCCACACCAATCACTGTTTACATGACCAGTAACATACACAAAAGGAAACAATGATCAAAACTCAGAAAGTAAATACCTGGACTGGTAACAATGTCCATTGTTGACAGAGTTTTCTTCAATTTAAGTATCTTTTCTCATCTCTAAAAAAAATTTTTAAAGTGCTAACTTTATATAAAGCAGGCAAATTCTTCAAGTAATTTGCTATCGAGTATGCCAATTTTTAGAGCTAGGTAACAAGTAAGAATAAAGTGAAACCAGACAAACAGGGAAAAAACTGGTAAGTTGTGGCTGGACAAAGCAATAGAATGCTATACCATCTTGGCTTTCTCATTTCAATTAAATACTAAAGCTAAGAGATTTAGGTATCTGCTGATTTAGTACACTAACTCCCCTGGATTTGCTAATTTATACAATAATCAATCGTATACAAAAAGTCATAAGGAAAAGAGTGTCACATAAAAATCAGCATTGGACACTAATTAAAGCAATCTTAGAAATAAAAGGTTGCCTACTACTATAACTGAACATAAAATGTAATAGATCTTACAAAGTGAGAACTAATCTTGTCCAAAGTTTAATTATTCCTGCCCTTTTGCTGCTTTCTCAAGGAAGTAGACATTAACCAAATGGCGATTGAGGTGTTTGCTGTAATCTTTTTCCTTTCTAAAAGAACGATCACAGAAAATGCAAACAAAATCGCCCTCAGCCACTTTGACTGCCAAGGCTTCCTTTGCATTTTTTCTACTAGTTTCCTGTGGAACCCGCCGAGCCCCATTCAATCCAGAATCATCACTCCCCTCTGACATGTTATCACTTAGGTCACTTCCATCATGACTGTGAATGCCTTCATCTTCATCAATTTCCTGAGACTCATTTTCTGCTGTGGTAACAGGAGGTGGTGCCAGAGCAGTTTTGGACACTGCTTCATGTTTTTCTATTGGTGGAGGAAGCAGTAGTGGTAATATTGGTTCAACTGCTGAGTCTTTACCAGAGAGACTCTCTGTTGTGTTCTGATCAGCGTCAGTTTCCATTTCACAAAGCATAGTGTCAGCCTGATGTTTACCATGTAAAATGTCACCTTCTGGCATTTTCAAGTTTTGTTCAGAAGATGAAATACTGGTAAATTCCTCAGTACTAGCAGCAACAGTAGGCAGACTCTCGTCAGCCTCCTCTGCTCCTATTTTCTGAAGAGGGGCTTCTCTAATTTCTTCCTCTTCAGAGAATAATTTTTGGTCTTTTGACTCCTCTTCCTTTAAGTTTTCCTTTGGCACCAGTGGTGATGGTGGTAGGAGGTCCTGTGTGCTTGTACTTTCTATTAGAATCGTGCTGTCTTTGTTAACAGGCACTAAGCCAACTTCAATAAGGACTTGCTCCTTCCGTGCCATTTCACTCTGCATGTCAGCAATTTCCTTATCATCATGATTTGGGGGAGACTTTTTGGGAATCAGCTCCATCTGAGCAGGAGGCTCCATCTGAGGAGGAGACTCCATCTGAGGGGGCGGTGGCCCCATCTGAGGAGAAGGTGGCGGATCCATCTGAGGAGGAGGTGGTGGCTCCATCTGAGGTGGTGGTGGTGGCCCCATCTGAGGAGGTGGCGGTGGCCCCATCTGAGGAGAAGGTGGCGGATCCATCTGAGGTGGAGGTGGCGGATCCATCTGAGGTGAAGGTGGCGGATCCATCTGAGGGGGCGGTGGTGGCCCCATCTGAGGTGGAGGTGGCGGCTCCACCTGAGGATGGGACCCTATAGAAGGAGTCAGTTCCACAGAAGGAGACAATTCCACAGAAGGAGGCTCCATAGAAGGAGGAGGATCCGAAGAAGGAGGCGGCTCCACAGGTGGAGGAGCATCCATAGGAGAAAGCAGCTCTCTGGGAGGAGGCTCCACCTGAGGTGGGTGCTTCTGAGCTGGTACCTTATGAGGAGGCTTCACCTGCTCAGGCCCCTTCTGGGCAGTCTTCTTCTGGCAAACCTTGCTGTTTTTTTTACTTGATTTATTATGTTTTAGAGTTTTCTTCTTTGCACTTTTTTTTGCACATGTATTTTGCTTTTTATTCTCTTCCACTTTGCTGTCACCCTTTGGCACTTCCTGACTGATTTTGGATTTGCTTTCTACCTTCTTTTTCTTTTTTGTCACAGGTTCTTCATCATTCACAGGATCATTTAAGGAATGGGCTTCAGCTTCCACCTTCCTTTTGCTTTTCTTGCCTTTACAGGATCTTTCTGAGTTATTTCCTTCACGCACATCCATCCCTTTAGTCTCCATTGCTGATTTGCGAGTTCTCGTAGTCACTGGGACCACTGAGGCATTACAAGACCTTTTCTCTTTTGAAACATTATCCTTTCTCTCTACTTTTACAGGCTTCTCATATTTCTTCCCAGCCACATCTCCCTTTATTTTTGTCTTCTCTGTTTCTGTTTTTTCATTGGTAATATTATTATCAGGCAAGTCAGCCTCCCTCTTTTTGGTTTTTTTCAGTTTCACTTTTGAAACATCCATTGTTTTATTGGGACAAGTAGGGTGCTTAGATTTGAAATGATACTGGAGATTACATTTCTTGGAAGCTGCATAGTCGCATACAGGGCAGTTGAACTGCCGCGGATTAACATGTAGCTCTACGTGTTTTTTGAAGTTACTTCTATCTGCTGTTTTATAGTCACAGTATGGGCAGTTAAGAGGTTTAGGTCCATTGTGAACCTGTCTTGCATGGCGGGTTACTTCATGTTGATTAGAGGCCACATAACTGCACTGGTCACATTTAAATGGCTTCTCACCTGGAGGTAAATAAAAGGTATTTAGAGAAGATGCAGATTAAGAGATGAATTCAAGACCTGTTATGATACACTTATAAGGAATAGGATATATGTAAAAACCACACACCATTTGTTGAAAAGATTGTGTCATGCACTTCATGTTTACCATATTTATTTGCATAACTTTTCTTTACCCCTTGATATTAATTCTAAAACAAGAGGTATAATTACCTCAGTCTACTATCATCTTCAGAAAGGTTAATCAAGAGGTTCTTAAGCACTATTAATTATAGAAAATCTAAAATTCATATACATTTTTAAAACAAATCTTAGAATTTCAAAATTTCTTATACTCTTAGCTATACTCCCAGACTCAGGTAGCAAAGTACGGAATCACTGTTTTAGCCTCAAGAAGAAAGTTTTTTTAATTTAAATTTAATCTTTTTGTCTACTGTGGTACATGCTGAAGTTTTACTCGGAAAACTTTTCAAATGCCAGAGTTGCTACTGTGAAACAAAAATATACTTAAAGCAATTATTCAATAACACTTTATTGATCCCCACCTCTATTTCCTTCTATTAAACTCGATAAGGAAATTGGGTGACAAGTGGCATACAAATAGATATGGTATGTAAAATAAGTCAACAACATCACAATCACAGATAAGATACATACAAAAAGAAAACCAATCCCACCCCCAAATTAAAGGGATAATAGTAACACATTCTACCTGAATACATACCCATCTAGATCACACTCTAGTAATATTACCAAATGGTATCCATACCCCACTGGTCCAACGGAATGCATAGTAGAAAAATGGAAATTGAAATTTATGAAAATTCATCTCTCAAACATGAAATTCATATAAAATCTTAATATGTTCAGAAAGCCAAGCTACTCACACTTAAAAGATAAACCATGTAGATATTAAGCTTTACATGATTAGAAAATGTCTGGTGATAGCTGAAAATATGAAATCACAACCTAAAAACATATTCAGGTATGTCACATTGTATATGCAGTTATTTGAACAACTCTTTCCACATTAGTTCATTAATGGATTCATAAATAAGTTACTACAACATGCTACATTTCTCTATAGTTGGTCCTATCTTGTCCTTATGAATCAATAACTTAAATGGAGATAAACAATTGCTTACGATATAAATACATAAATAGGGGAAAGATAAGTGGCGTAATGGTTAAAAACTCAACTTCTAGAGTATAAGTATCTGGGGGATCAAACGTGCTCTGCAACTTGCTTACTACTTGTGAGACGCTGGACAAGGTACTTTTATAAAACTCTCTAGGGCTCAAGTTGCTCGTGTGTATAATACTTTCTAAATGTTGTGATATATACTCTAATCCACTGAAAGCACTTAGCAAGAGGCAAACAGTAGGCACCTCCATATGTATTACCTATAATTCATTACTTTTGCAACTAACTCGTATTTTTTAGTATGAATAAATAGAAAGCTGATGATTGGAATTTATCTTTTTATGAAAATATTGGTGCTAAGAAAGGAAAGGTAATAACCCCAATGAATGAGTAGATCTGAATATCAAGTATTAACTGAGGTGCAACCTCCACCTATAAAATGGCCAGGGATGAGTGGTAGATGTAGAAATTTTATGTTTAAAATTTGGTGGCATAATTAATTTGCTGCATTAGTTTTTTTTTCTCCCAGTTTTGTTGTCAACATTAAAGCTTGCTTGTATACCCATTCCTCACTTAATGACCAGGTCGCTACTAGAAAATTGGTGTTATATGAAACAGAGGATGACCACATCAGGTCACAAGATGAAGCATGACTACATATCATTACAAAACTGCCAAACCACTGAGAATCATGGCCCCGCCTAGTTGACACATAACCTTACCATCATATCCAGAGTTACTCTCACCTCACATCTTGGTATTTATTACTGCTAGATCCTGCACATCATTAATGTGCAAAATAGTCAGAAGTTTTTTTTACCATAGTTGTAAATGTGAAATGTCAGATTAACGAAGTAGTCAGTAAATGAGGAGCAGGTGTATTAGAACATCCACTTGTCAAGATTTTCTAATGTATTAGTACCTAGCTAGATGTAAGTCTTTTTGCTCTGTATCAGTTTTTTAACTCCCTTTTCCAAATCTGCTAATGTTTACCTATGCTTTCATCACATTTCATGTAAACATGCCAGTTTTGTCTAGGCATGTTTACTTTAAGGCAAATTAAAAACAAGGAAAGATTTGCATAAGTTTTACACATTCGAATAAATAATAATCCAAAAAGAATAGCTAAGGAAATTTTAATTCAAAAACATTAAGTTGAGTGAAAGAAACTTGATGAAAGAATACTACACATTGTATAATTCATTTACACAACATTTGAAAGGCAAAACTGTTCTTTGATTAAAGTCAGACTATTGACAGAAAGATCCTGAGGGGAAAGGGGAACTTTTCCGAAGGTAACAGAAGAGTTTCTTGTCTTGATGGTAGTAGTCAAAAAGGTGAGAAAACATACAAAATCATCAAGTACCCTCTGAGAATATTTAAGATATGTGGCATTTTAATGTGTAAAAATTATACCATGAAGTAAATATTATTTTAAAAATTACTCCAAAAATCATGAAGACTCTCAAATTATAACATCTTTAAACAAGCCCAGCTATTATTATACCAATGATCATGAAGATGGCACAGGACTGGGGGCAATGTTTCATTCTGTTATACATGGAGTTGCTTTGAGTAGGCACAAACTCAGCAGGAACTAACAATATAATAAATAATCAATAAATAGTTGTTGAAAGGAAAATAAATTTATCACAGAATTTAATAAGAGTAATAAAATGGTAGCAGAACTTGGCAAGTTGCCCTTTACTTTTCTGTTAATTAGTTTTACAAACATCCATTACCCACAAAATGGGAAAATACATAAAATTAAGTCCTGTATTAGCAGAATATGGTAGTGTAGCAGGTAAGGCATCTGGCTGCCAACCACAAAGTTAACAGTTCAAACCCACCAGCTATCCCACAGTAGGAAGATAAGGGAATCTACTTCCATAAAAATTTACAGCCTTGGAAACCCAACTGGGGTCTCCATGAATCGGGTATGACTTGATGGCAGTGGGTTTTGGTTTTTATACTAGCAGAATGGGGTAACTAGTCAGTGTGGTACATAGAGGTAAATGGTAAAAGCACAAAAAACACCCTAATGGCAATTACAAACTGGATGGTGACCTTTCCACTGATAGAAGGAAAGGGAGACCTGAGGAAAATGTCAGTGTCTCTCGACTACCCAAGAGAGGACAGCATAATACCAGGTGGGAGTCCCTGGGTGATGCAAAGTGCTAACATTGCTTAGCTACTAACCAAAAGGCAGAAGGTTCAAGTCCACCTGGAGGCACCTCAGAAGAAAGGATTGGCCATCTCCTTCCCAAAAAAAGCCACCACTGAAAATCCTACAGAGCACATTGTTGTACCCTGAAGGGGGTCACCTAAGTCTGAATCAACAGGATGGCAACTGGTTTATTAGGTTGTTGTTGTTGTTGTTGTTGTTATGTGCCGTCGAG